AGAGGAGGCTTCCCGGAGGCAGTGACCGTGGCACACAGGTTCCACCCTTAAGGTGTGTGCCCTGGAGGGCGTTCAGAGGACAGTGGAAGGTGGGGGTGCTCTGGACTTGGGCATGCTCCATCCATGTCCTGAGCTATCCCACCACTTACCTCTGCTCACAGCAGCAGCCCCTGGGAACCAGATCATGAATTTGCCTTAGTTATGACCTCACAGAAGAAAAGCAGGGTCTGTCTTCTTCCCTCCCTGTCACAGCTGTGCAGGGCCACTGGCTGGAGTTTATCAGGCACACGCATAGCCCTCCAGGGCCCTGGGGGAATGGGCCAGGCTGGAGATGGGTACATTTCCCAGTAGCTTGGGACCCAGGGCTGCTGCACGGTGCCTCTGAACCCAACCCCAGGTCCACCTTGGAGTGGCTGCCCTCCCCACCATGGCTGGGTTAAATCTGAGGCCCAGGACAGCAAGTGCACCCTGGGGTCCAGGGACAGGGAGGGAAGGTCTCAGTCTTGCAGATGGCACAGATGGCAATGTGGAAGCAGGTCCTGGAGAGACCCCTGGGCTCTGAGACGGCACTGGGAGACCAGCACTCCCTCAGGGGCCTGAGGGTCCTAGAACTCAGCTTCCCATGTGCCCAGCTGAATAGGGGCTGGGAGCAGAGAGTGAGCTGGTCCCCTTCACCAATTCTGTGTGGAATCAGAGCCCCCCTCTAGCTCTTCAGTTTCTAGAATAGCTCCAAGGCCCAGAGCTGTGCCAGGAAAAGCCATTACCCTGACAGCCTCCCTGCACCTGCTAAAAGCTCCCTCCTTCCCCTGGGGCCTCATCTGTCCTGAGCTATTTCATCTCCACTCACCTAGCCCTGACCACCTCTCCTGTGTTTGAGGGAAGGAAGGAGAAATGCTTGCTTAATTAACTCTTTCCATGCCTGGGCTAAGTCAGCATGGGTAGTGGGTGTCCTTGGCCTTGCCCATGGTCCTCCCTGTCTTTCTCCACCTAGAATTCCTCCTGCCAGACACCCGGGAGCTTGTGGAGAGAAGGGGAGGGGGCAAGAGGCAAAGGTATCAGGAGGGTGGAAGTCAGGCTGACAAGTGTGGGTGATGGGTGGCAAACTGAATTGTCACTGCACTGCTTGTGACGTAAGTCCTTCAGTCACCCTTGGTTCTGACATCTTGGTGCACTGGGAGGTCCGCAGGGAATATAAAATACTACCAGTGGTGCAGGAGCAGGTTTGACGTTTGGGGTGTAGAGGACAGACTTTCTCCCTCCACACCTCCCTGGAACACCCCCTGGAGTGGAGGTGAACACCCTGTAGGAATGCATAGAGCAGGCGGCATGAGAGGGGTGGAGGCTGCTGAGAGCTGAGAGTCTGACTTTCAGGGCAGCCATTGGAAGAGAGAACCAGGGCACAGAGCAGCAGGAGGACGGGTGCGGATTGCACCCTTCAGCCAGCAGAGGTCCTAAAGCCAAAGGAAGGACCTGAGGGGTGAGGCAGGCTGAGCTGCGCCCACCGCCCTGATGCCTTCTTACCAGTCGGGCAGCTCCCTTTGCAGGGCGGGGCCGCGATGCACCTGGGTGGTCCCTGAGTCTGAGGGGTTCCAGCTCCCTGGGAGAACCCCCCTTCTCATCTCAGCCCTCCCTCAGTGCTTCCCTTTCTCCCTTTCATGCTGCCCTCGGGTCCCTGTGAGAAACACTCTGGTTGTCTTATAGCACAAATGAGGGAATACCACGAACCCGGTCTCTGTGTGCAGGGGCTGCACGTGCACTCCTTCCAGCCCTACAACAGCCCTGGGAGAGAAGGGCAGCACTACTTAGAGGGGAGGCAGCTGAAGCCCAGAGAGGGGAAGCGACCTGGCTTGGGAGTAATTGAGCTCCAAACCCACTTCTGTGTCCTGCCGAAGCCTGTACCCTTTCCAGGACTTCACAGCAGCCAGTGACCCCAACTTGTAGACCCAGAGTTGGGGTCACAATGGGGAGACACCAGGTCGGGGGCTATTATTATTATTATTATTATTATTATTATTATTATTATTATTATTATTTTTAAGCACTTTCGTGGTATTTAACAATGTGGCAGGTACTTTACACATATTATTCTCTTCATACCCACAACAAACCTGTGTTATCATCCCCATTTCATAGATGAAGGAAGTAAGGCACAGCAAGGTTATACACTTTGCCTAAAGTCACACAGCTGGTAAGGTATGGAGCTGGGATTTAGAACCCGGATGGTCTGAATCAGGGGCCCTGTTGTCATCACCATGCCACATTGCCTCTCAGTCAAAGCAGAATGAGGAGTCCTCAGTTGACCCCTGGTGCTTAGAGACGGACTCCCACAAGAATGGTTATCCACAGGAGTAGGGCTGTGACAAGTGGGGTGCAAGGAGCCAGGCCACTGTGTCACTCAAGTCCAGAGGACCAAGGAAGCAGTAAGGGCCGGGGGTCCAGAGGGGTCCTAGAGGAGAGGAACGAGCCGGGCTGGGGAGGACCCCAGCTGGTGCTGCGAACACACGGGGCGCATGGGCTCTGAGCTTCTGGTCTGACTGTCCTGCCCCACATTCCCTTTGGGGACCTCTGGGGGTGGGGCCAAAGCTGGGGAGGACATCATCTCTGCTTCGACCCTGGGGTAGTGTTTGTGCACCCGAGTGTGGTGAGGCTCCCGAATGATCCCTTCCTCGTGATTGCTGCAGTTAATGTAGCAGCACCGTTTACAACCCCAACATAAAAACCTACTCAACAGAAGTATTAACTCTCTCACCGAGCTGTTTGGTGGCTCAGGATCTCAGAGACACTTATCCCAGGGACCTGTGTGATGCACTGGGGAGCAGAGGACCCAAGCTCCCACCTCACCTTGGGCAGCTTAGCACTACACCACCTGTAAGTGCTTGATGGCCGGAAAGCCCTCACCCTGCCCTGCCCCGTGCCCAGCTCTGGGTGCCCACCCCAGGGCCCTGCACACAGTGAGTGCTGCTGTGGGAGCTGGGCTGAGCCTTGGGAATCTGGCCCAGAAGCTTAGGGAAGTGAAGGGCAAAGAGCAGGCAGCACCACACAGCCGCCCTGTCCACCAAACAGGCCTAAAGAAGAGGGTCAGGAGACTGGAGTCTGTGCACGCAGGCACCTGCTGGGGAGCCCCATTCTGGCAGGGGCAGGAAGCCAGGCCCACAAGGCATCATCTCCCCCACTCCCACCCCACCCTGCGCTCTGGTGCCTGAGTCCATGTGAAGGCCTCAGCGCTGACCAGCAAGACAGTGTGGTCACCCGAGCAGGCAGGGTAACCAGAGAGAGACCTGGTATTCTCTGGTCTGGGGTGACATGAGCGTCTGCCTGGGAGGGAGCTTTCATGCTCTGTCCACTTTTCACTCAGATTTATGAACGGTGGAGTCCAGGAGGGGTGAGCAGCTGGCAGGACACCCTCCCTCTGACTCAGCCTGCTGACCCCTCCCCCTCCAGGAAAACCACATCTGAGGAAGCCAAGTACCAGAACTCCAAGGCAATCACATCTGTGACCGCGGAGCCCACCAAAGCCTCCATATGGGGGGACACGGTCAAAGTGGAGATCCAAGCTGAGAATGTGGGGCGAGAAGGTGAGGTGGGGGCTGGGTGTGGGAGGGGCTGTAAGGCAGGATCAGGGTCCCTCTCAGCTCCGCTGGATGCCACCTGAACACCTCCTTGGGCTCAGTTAAAAGCACTTTAAAGAAAAGAAATCATAATACTGTCATGCCTCATTTCACCAGCCTGCGCGAAAAATGAGTTGTTCTACATAAATGAATTTTCCAGACAACGAAAGCTTATCTTCTTTATGACCATTGTTATTATTTTCGTGGTTGTTATTACCACACCTCCCACTGAAATGCACATTAGAGCTTCCTACCACGAGTCGCTCAGAGGAGTCATGCTGCTCCCACTGCTTAGATGAGAATGTTGAGGTGCAGGGAACTTAAGTAGCTGGCTCAAGGTCAAGTCATCAGTAAGCGAAGGACAGAGGACTCAGCATTATAGGTGCTCATTGTGGGTCCAGCATTCTAGCTGCTTTCCTAGCATGGCCTCTTATTCTGCCTCATTCTCCCCAGGCACTTCCTACTGTCACATAGTGGTGTCCCTGTGCTTCCAATGGTTGAGGTCCACTCTTGTAGAAACTGTCTACTAGTTCTCGCTCCTCCGCCCCTGGAGGTCCTCCAGCCCCCACATCTTGGCAAATTTTAACACTGCAGGCAACTTAAGGCACCAGTGTACACGCGTACACTTGTGTTTTCCACACTGGGGCTCTCAGGTGAGAGCTCAGGCGGACACACAGTAGTCCTGGCTGGTTGATGGCAGGACTGCTTGGACGCTGGCACCGGGCACTGTCAGTGCAGACCCGCAGGTGCCCACAATGTCTGCTCTTATCTGGTCAGAAGCACCCCAGGCTCGCATCTTGCAGATGGTCTTTCCCTCAGAGGACGGGCTTTACTTCTGCCCTTGAAACCTCCCCAGGGACTTAGAATTCCGTGTCCACCTCACAAAAAGCAGAAAGCCAGCTGCAAAGACAGTGGAAAGGGAGAGATGAAAAGGGTGAGGAGGGGGGGTCAGTAAAAGGAAAAGAGGCTAATTCTGGGTCAAGCCAGAGGATATTTTTTCTGCCATAAAAGGATAGGTGGGGTTGTTGGGATGATATGAGAAAATGTGAAAGAGAAGGAAAATTGATCTAGGATTTCATGCAAATGCACGTGTGTGCCTGTCTTTGTGAATTGCCTGCATGATGCTGGCTTGTGTGTGTGAGTATGTGCTCGTGACTGTGCCTGTAGGCATGCGTGTCTGTGTGTGGTGTATGTGTGTGTGCATGTGTGCGTGTGTGTGTGTCTATGTAGCTGGTGGGAAGTTCAGGGTGTGGTGAGTAAACCTGGGCTGAGATCCTGTCCTGGGCTCTACAGGAAAGGGTATGATGAGCCAGTGGCCTTGGGCCCATCTGTGCAGCAGAAAGGGGAGGGGACTCACTGTAGGAGGGACAGGAAGTAGGGAGCCTCCCGGGCAGGCAGGGAATATTGGCAAGTGCCGCTTTGCAGATCCAAGTAGTTAGATGCTTGTTGGAACCTGGTTGGAGCCGGTTGCTGTGGTGACATCTGCAGTGGGGGGTGGGGGAGATGGGGGCCAGGCCAAGAGGTGGGGGAAGGGCAGGAAGTAGCTCGAGGATGTGTTAATGAAAAGCAAAGGGGAGCTGCAGACCCTGTTGCAGGGCCAAAATAGGCAGGCAGCAGAAATGGCTTGTTGGCCACACAAAGGAAGCAGTGGGAGGCTGAGGGGCACAGTGCCCAGAGAAGAAGCTGATGAAGCATGCTTGTAGCGTGGAGACAGGAACAGGGAGGGATGGCTGTCCATTCTCCCAGTCACAGCTCATTTGCTGGCTGCCCACACAGGGCTCCAGAGATTGGGGATGGCGGGAAGGAAGGCAGGACACTCACCCTTATTTGGCCTCAGCAAATTCCAACTGGATTTGGGGACTCAGGGGCCTTGGGTGTTGGCCATGGGGGGCTGCAGCCTCCACAACTACTGTTGTAGCTTTGGCTGGGAGCCCTGGAATCCCCCAACTGAGTCTTTTGAATCTGCTCAGGGCTGTGTGAGTGTATGGCGCTCCACAGATGGATAATGAGGAGGAAAATAGTGACAGCTATGAAAAGCATTTGCTTAGAATTTTATAGCTTGAAAACACATTCCCCTCCCTACAACAAGATTAGGAGAGGGACAGGGTTTTTCTTCCAAAGTTTTAACGTTTTGCAGAGCAGGAACATAAAGCTCAGAGAGGTTAAGTGACTGGCTAAGTGTCACACAGCGAGTTGGTGTAGTGGTACTATTAATAAAACCCAGGTCTACTGACTTCAACTCCCTTGCCTTACTCTTTTTTCAAGGCAGCCTCAAATCCTTTTGGTGTCCTTTTTCTCCCTTTCCTTTGAGCATGGATCCCATATGGCCAGCTTTGAGGGATTTTGGCAAGAGCCTTACCCTCTGTATGTGTCCAGGGTAGCTGTGAGGAGGAGGAAGAAAGCAAGAGTAATCAGCGAAGACTTCTGCTTCCTCCTCCACTCCCTCATCCAAGTGACCCACCCCAAGTCCAAGTGGCCCAGCAGCACTAGGCTCCCAGCCTGCTCAGCCCACAGAGCCAGCAGCTGTCCCTGGTGCTGAAATGCCATAGTCTCAGGAAGACAGGCAGAGGGCAAGAGGGTACCCAACAGTCTCCCTCAGGTACACCTGTCTACCTCAATCCTCTCTTTCCCATTCTTCTCTAGATTTCTCTTTTGTCTCCTTCTCCCTCATTTCTCCACCCTCCTCCTCCTTTCCTACTTCCTTATCTCCTCTTCCTCAACAAATCATAGGCTTAGAGAGTGGGAAGATGCCTCAAGAGTCACCAATACAGCCTCTGTGTGAGGTTGATCAAGTTATATAACCTCTATGAGCCCCAGTGTCTACATTTTAAAAATATAGATGGTGATTCCTACTTAGGGGGTTGTGGTGGGGATTTGTTGGAATAATGGCTCAGGGGTACCCATGCCCATGCCTGGCACCCAGTAGGTGCTCTAAGTAGTACTGCCATGATTATTTCCAGGTCGTTGGTGCTCTCCTCAGAGTTTATCCCAAAGTTCATGCATTTTATGACAAAATGTAGTCTCTTTGGAGAGAGTTTTCTAAATGGTGCATTATTTTTAGTGTTTAAACCAGTTTGCATTTACTTGGAGTAGACTTTTATTGATATTTGTATTGAAAAGTTTCTTGAGCAGATCTCTTTTCCTCACTGGGCCTCAGTTTCCCTATCTGCAACGTGTGAGAGATAGTCCCTGCCTGAGGAGCAGTGAGGGCGTTTGTAACCACGGGAAGGAGCCTTATTCCTGGAAAGGGATACTGTTCCTGCTTGTTTGTGTGTCTGTGATGCACACGTGTGTGTGTTGCCATGGGGAGCGTGGCCCAGATCTGTGTATCAATCCCTGGGCTGGGAGTTTCTAGACCACAGGAGACAGTTGCATATTTGGGTCCTAGCAGCACCTAGCACACAGCCTTGTCCTGTGCGGGGGCTCAGACTTGCTTGTGAAGTGTGCCTGATTGTGGTATACACATGCGCATGCATGTGGATTTCTCCCTTTGGCCCCTGCTCCCCTACTCTCAGGAATATCTCTCACTTAAGTTGGCGGGATGGTGGTCAGCTGAGCCTGGTCCTGATCCTGTACTCATTTTTCCTCTCTCCAGATGGGATCCTCAAAGTGGTGGACAACAAAAAGAAAGAGGAGCTGTTGTCATACCAAATCCCCACCAAGTACCTGCGTGTCTTCCACCCCTACCACTTTGAGCGGGTGATGGTGAGTCAGAGCCCAGGCTCTGGGCCCACACAAGCCTGCGAGAGGCAGGGGGAGGGCCCCGGCTCTTCCCTCAGAGCAGCCCTGGACATCCACGCTCATCCTGCACTATGACAAGTCTAGGACCATGGGGGCCTCAGGAAACACAGCTCCTGGCAGGTAGACAGGAATGACTTCCATAAGAATTTGCAATTCTCCAAATTCATCTCCACCAAACAGCCCAACTGGCATAGAACATCTACCACATTAAATGAACACACCAACTAAAGATGTATTCTGATTTCATATACGAGTATGTTGAAAGGGTGGGAGTGTATCTAAAAATCAAAGCAATGCAGTATTTACGGAAACCTGCTATGTTCCAGGCTAGGCTAGACATTATACACGCCATCTCTAATCCTCAAGGTGAATTATAGTTTGCTTACATAGGACTCAGGAGAGCGGAATCCTCTCCTCCTGGGTCACAGAGCAAGTGAGGAGCAGAGTCAAGGGTGAGCCCAGGCCACACCATCTCCCAAGCTGGGTACAGCTCTTTCTGTGCTGCCTCCACATGCTACCTTGGCAGGAGGACACCCCAGGAGAGGTGGGGTATTTGGGAGATAAGGTGTTCCCTGGAATGCACCCATCTAGTGGCGCTCAGGACCCTCAGTCCGTGGTCTGACTCTCCCAAGCCAGCTCCGCTGCCCACCCCCTCTCCCCAGTGCTGATTGGTGGAAAGGAGAATTCACTTGCTGATTGCTCAAGTACTTGTTAAGCACCTACTGTGTGCCAGGCACTGAGCCAGAGATGACAGAGGCATCATTTCCCTCCCTCCAGTGTGCACTCCAGACCTCTACAGTGCCCCAGAGTAAAGAGCAATGTGAAGCTGGATTGTCTGGGTTCCTCTCCCAGGTTTGCTCTTTGCTAGCTGGGTATCCATAGGAAGCTGCTTAACCCCCAGGCCTCCATTTCTCATCAGCAAAATTAAGACAATATACCTCTTAGCATGACCATTTGGAGGGTCAAGTGCAATGATGGGCATAAAGCACCTAGTAAGGAGCTCAGTACCTAGTAGGTGCTCAGTGCAGCCTAGTTCTCCTCCTTCCTCCTTTCCCCAGGCCCTGGTACTGACCCCTTTTCCAAGAAACTCCTCAACCATGGCCTCAGGGGTCTGCACCTTTCCAAAGACCAGGCACCAGGGGCAGGCAGGGAAGCGAAGCCCAGAGAGATTAGTGCCTCACCTGGGGGACTCAGCACTTCAGCTCACCCCAGGCGTCCTGCCCTTCTGTCCAGGCCTTGTTATCACATCTTTACAAAGAGAGCAGGCAGGCAGTAGTCCTTGTGAGAGTGATGAAATATTCAAATAGAAAAAGGAAGATTTATTGTATTGATCTCCTCGGAAGGGCTCGCAGGGACCATGAGTTTAATTATCGGCTCGGCACCTCGGTGGAGCAATGCCAGTGATGGTCTGACGAGGGCTGGATTTATGGCCAGGTCTGCCCCGTAGTCATCCTCCTCTTTGTGTGTCTTCTTCCCCTACCCTGTCCCAGCCCACCCAGTCTGGGACAGCCAAAGGAGCCACTGCCGCGACCACTGCCACTGCCACTGTACGCGACGGTCGTCCGGAAGGGCAGCTTCATTCCCCGCTATGTTGGCTGTGACCACACAGCTCTAGAGGTGCCGGACTGGGGCCCCTGTAGGGGTGGGGGCAAGGTGCCAAGCTGTAACAGGCCCCAGGGTCTGCCCTTGTGGGGCAGGGCTGTCTGGGGAAGAAACCAAAAAGGGAGAAAGCAACTGGGCCTTTCAAAATAGCTGACATGGTTTGTGAAGAACAGCCCAGGGATGGCAGGTATGAGGGGGATGGAGATGAAGATGAATGGTGCCTGACCTTTCCTCGCACTTTTCAGGCACATAGCCCTGCCCTCACCTCATCCTCCCTTGCTCTGCTCCTCACACACCACGCAGGGAGAGCTGCCAGGAAGGGAGGAGGCTCCCAAAGCCCTATGTCTGTCTGAACCTCATGGCGGGAGGAAAAGCACCCCCCCATCTGACCTTGGCCCACATTTCCTGGCCGTTTCTCTCCTATTCTGTCCCTCTGGAGGAGGGACCCCTGACCTAGGGCTTACATCCCAAATTGAAAATTTTAGGACCACCCTACCATTCCTTGAGTACTGTTTCTGAAGGTTTGGCTGGTCTTCTAATTAGGTATTCATTCATTCATCCATCCATCCATTCATCTATCCATCCATCCATTCATTCATTCATTCAACACCTATTTACAGAGCCTCTTTTATTAGCCAGGCCAGGGCCAGGCCCGACTTGCACACCCTCCCCACCATTATCTTCTGCCCCGAGGGCTTTCACAGTCGCAGGAGGACAGGCGATGCTTCAGGGAGATGTGGTCCAGGAACCTAACCCCTCCTCCTTTCCCCCCAGCCTTCCAACTGCCCAGGAGTGACAGGTTCAAATCCATTCATGGCCTGAGTATGATCAGGGTGGAGCCTGGGGGCCCAAGCTTTGGCCTCCCTGTGCCCCAGTGTGGCTGATCTGATCTGCCCCATAGTACTATGAGCTGGCAGGACAAGATGTGTTCTGCAGTCCCATTTTACGGCTGGGGACACCGAGATCCACGGGGAGTCTGGTATGGGAGCCCTGACCCACATACCTGTTTCTCCACAGCCACCCCTTGGATGCCAGCATGTGTCAGACTTGTAGGTGCCCTCTGCCTTCACCCCCCTTCTCTCATGCCCCTTCCTAAGGATGCCCAGCAGCAGCGTGGCCTGCAGGGCCCACCGCGGATCTGCCCCATATACACCTTGTAGCATCTGGGCCCCTCTGCCACCAGCACCCTGCCCACTGCCCTGCCCAGCCCAGGTGTCCTCCTTGTCTGCCTCTGGTGGCAGACCGGAGCACAGAGGGAGGAGAAATCACTCCTGTTTCTCACTGGGCTGTCATGAGCAAATGTGCTTCGGCAGCTATCTCATTTCCACCTGACCACTGAGCACAGAACAGTTGTAAATTAGTCCCCCCCACATACACATACACCTCTCAGACCACCCCCCACCTCAGCCCTTACACCTGTGAGCAGTAGAGCCTGACAGCGTTCCAGCAAAGTCCCTCAGGCCCAGACCCCCACCCCCATCAAAAGGTTGAAACACCATCATCAGAGATTCCGTCCTCCGAATTTGGTGAAGGGGTTCAGCCTCCAGAGGCCCCAGTGGCAACTGAAAGGCCCTGAGGACTATATTAAGCCCTTGTCAGCTCAAACCTATGCGTCCTTAGCTGGCAGCCAGCTGAGATGGGTCCTGGCTGAGGGGCTTCGCAGAGGGTGCTAGGGTTTGGGGCAGGGAGGAGAAAAGGAAGAGAGATTTAGAATAAGCCCCTTCCCCCAGGCCCTCTCCTCCCATTGAAGGTCAGAGCTAGAAGGACCAGGGAGCATGTCAACCCCTCAGTGTACACGTTGGGAAACTGAGGCCCAAAGCAGAGCAGGGACTGGCCACAATTTCATAGTGACCCAGCTGGAATGAGTGGCTGAGCTGGTGTGGATCTGGCAGGGGCCTCTGCCCCTCCTCAGATATGCCTGAGGCATGGCCCTTCACATGTGTCCCTCACCCTGCTTTCTGCCCATCATCACCTGTAATTGGGATCCCCACCCAGCCGCCGAGACCAGCTCAACCCCAGCCCCTCCCGGAAGCCACTGCCAGTCTCCTCCCCCTTCTCCTCCCAGGTTTCTGTGGTTCTGTCTTTCCCACCCTCAAAAACACAGTCAGCTCCTCCCCCCCCCCTCCGCCTCCCCTTTTCTCCTCACTAATGGCACTCATTTATCCCACAGAAACACATGGGGCTCCTGCTGTGGGCCAGGTGCCTTTGCTGAAACCTAGGAATACAGTAGTGAATGGTCCCCGGCCCTGTGGAGCCTGGGTTCTAGTCAGATGGACAGAAAAAAAACAAGACAGAAATTAGAATCAACAAGCTACGATGCGTGCTATGGCAGAGGTCATGCAGGGGCTAAGGGAACGAAGTGGGCGACTTTTGCAGAGTGGTCACGGAAGAGTGCTCACATTCAAGCTCTCAAGGAAGAGAAAGAGCCAGCCACTGAGTTGGTGGGGGTGGGGAGCCTAGGCAGCCGGGGCCGCACATGCAAAGACCCTGAGGCAGAAACATAACAGAAGCTGAGGGTGACATAACAGAAGCTGGAGCAGAAAGAGGACTGGGGGCTGGCAGGAGACGTGGGCCAAGGGGCAGAGAGGCCAGCGCGTGCAGGCCTTGGCTATCATGGTGGGATTATGGAATTCATTCTAAGGGCAGTGCGGGTGGGCAGTGGTCATTGCAGGGTCTCAAGCAAGGGAATGACATGATCCAATTCATTTTTAAGAAGGCAGCTTTTGCCACCATGTATCAAATTGCGTGGGGAAGGGAATGGGTTGGGAGCAAGAGTAGAAGCAGAGGCCAGTGAGGGGTCAGAGAAGTAGAGGAATCACAAGAATCCCAGCTGGGGGGAGTCAGGTAAGTGTTCAGGGGAAAATGGGAACCCATTGGTGGACAAGGGGTGAGGGCCCGGAGCCAGATCAGGAGCTACTTGGGATGGCAGTGGAGGGATGTGGGACAGAAACATGCCTTCTCCCCTTGCTGCCCAGTCCCTGGCACAGAGCCTGAAAGAGGGCAGCCTTGAGCAGAGGAGGACCCTCGTGAGGCAGGAGCAGGTGCAGAGGGGTGGAAGCAGGAATGAGTCCACTGTTGAAATGAAAGAAAGATGGCAGGAAGGCTGCCAGCCATGTCCCTGAGTGGACCCAAAGCCACCGGGGACTCAGCTGCCTTCTCTCTTTCCCAGGTCTTTCTCCAGGGAGTCAACGAGCCCCTGGTCAACAACCCCAGCCCCATGGTGGCCATCGCCAGAGTGGTTCCCAACTACAAGGAGTTTAGGTGAGTGGTGCCCAGGTGGTGTGGCAAGGAGGGGGAGGGGAGCAGAAGACGGAGGAGGTGGAGGCTAGAAACCTGCCGTCCCCACAAGGCCTTTCAGCCGCCCCACTGGGAATGAGGTTCCCAGAAGCTGCCCACAAGCCCTGGAAGGGGACAACTCAGACCCCTCCTGAGAGCAGGCAGGGGAAGCCAGTGTGTGGAGGAAGAGAGGGGGTCTTCAGCTCCTCCAAATCTACCTCCCCGTCTCACACCCACAGTCCCCCCTCCCACTTGAGTTCAGGACCAGGGTGGTTCACCAGCCGGTGGTCATCCCCAAGGGAGGCAGCCTAAGGGCCATCTCAAAACTTCATGGCCTTCAGCCCTGTGTCAGGGGTCCCCTCCCTTGATCTCCTGGAAATCTTCCCTGGCCCCAGTCCCCCGAGACCTCTTTTAAGGTTTGGTGGATTCACAGTTCTCAGGAGGGGATTCAGCTAGTTCAGACACTGGAGGCTGCAGTGCGGGGAGCTCCCCGTGAACATGTGCCCTCTGTGACAGCACCATCTCCTGGGGTCAGCTGTCTGCCTCTGTCATTTCCACTGACTCTGATGGCCCAGGAGGACCCCTTGACTTATCTGTTGAATCCTGATGACCTGTGAGCCCCCTTGCTGGTTGGAGGAAAGATCACTGATACACTCACTCCCAGCTCTCCTATGAGGTCAGGGTATGTGTGCCCGCGCGCGCACACACACACACACACACACACACACACACTCCCTAAACTCCACCCCTGCAGCCTCTATGCCCCCAAGCCTAAACCGGGATTCCCATCAAGGAAGTGGGTCATTCTGGCAAGGTCTTCCACAGGTGAGGCAGGGATGCAAGGCCCATTTTAAAGATGGGGCAGCTGAGACGTTCGGATGTGGCCAAGGTCACAGAGAGTCATGGGGAAGGGAACCTGGGAGTGCAACCAATCTCCTGACCAAGATGAGCTTTCCCAAAGCTCTGGCTAGCGATCAGAAGCTCCCGGGTCCATTACCTGTCCAGGTGTCCAGGCCCGAACTAGGTAGGGCTGCTGCACTCTCCCCTTTCGCATCAATCCAGAGTCCCCTTGGGGCCCTTGGCTGCCAGGCTTGGGCGCAGAGTTAAGAGTGCTGGACACCCAAGCACTGGCATCCTGACTCCTGTCTCCTTCCCTCCCCAGGGCAAACCAGGACCTGGCCTCCCTGGGGCTACCCATCACCCCACTCTCCTTCCCTACCCCTTCCATGATGAACTTTGATGTTCATCCGGCCAGCCAGCAGGTGTGCCCTCAGGTACTGCTCCTTCCCTCCTGCACTCTCTCAGTGCTTCCGACTTCCAGTAATTCACCCACACAGTCAGTTGCCGTTCACCTGAGCATCGAGTCAAGTTTCGCTGGATCTCGCTGCAGACCCAGGGCTGTGAGTCTCCGCTGGGCGAAAGCTGCACACGGGGAGCTCTGGGGAAGAGTCACACAGGAAAAGGTTCAACGTCAACACAAGGTCATGTGTGATCTCATGAGTAGGAGGGGCCGTCAGAGCTGTAAATATCAGAGGGGAGAAGACAGGAAAGGACAAATATTGAATGACCCCACTTACATGCGGTACTAAGAATAGGCAGTCAGAAAGACAGAAAGTAGAATGGTTGTTGCTAAGGGCAGGGGGATGGGAAGGTGGGGAGCTGTTATTAATATTTAATAGGCACAGTGTAGTTTGGGGTGTTGAACTAAATATGGTGATGGTTACACACATTGTGAATGTACTTCATGCCACCAAATTGTACACTTAAAAATGGTTAAAATGGTAAATTTTATGTTATATATACTTTACCACACACACAAAATATTTTTCTAATCAGAGGTGAGAGGGATGTGAAGGTAATTAAGGTGGGCATCCAGACACAACTTGTGTGAACAGGTTCCCAGCCTCCCCCTCCTCCATCCTCTGTCCTCCCCTCCCTCCTTGCCCGCACCACCCGGGCCCCACAAAAATTAGGGGAGGGTTGGTGCAAGGCCATTGGGAACAAGAGCACAGGTGTGGAGGAGGTGGAGATGCATTCAGGGCTGGAAAGGAGGCCAGTGTGTCTGAGTGTGTGGGGGAGGGGTGTGCAGACTGTGACTGGGTCCATGTGAATGGCCATGCTCATCTTTTCCCATAGTCTGCACTTCAATGGCTACTTGACCTACGTACAGGATGGTCCCAGCATTCCTAGGGGCCTTAAAGAAGACAGTGGTGCCTTGGAAGTCCTTCCTGTTGTCTGACCACCATTGTTCATGTCTGGCAAGGCAAACATAGAATGAGGCACCCCTTTGGAGCCCCAACCTTCATTTAAAGGCAAAGACATTTGAAGAACGCTCAGACACGGACAAGAGTGATGGCGATGGGGAGGGGTGGGACGAAGGGGGGCCCTGGGGACAGAGGCTTCAAACCCAAACCAATCCTTGGCCTGATTTCCCCAGAGTCATCTCACACATGGCCCTGCATTTGCCCAGAAAATTATGAACCAATCAGCAGGCACTCCCGAGGGGCGGGAGGCGCTGGCTGCTTTAATGAATGAGCCCCTCCACACCCTGGGCTTCTGGCTGCCTTTGCTGCCTAACTAGTTGGGGGGGGGTGCCCCCCACTAGACATTTGCCCTCAGCCCCTCTTGCATGTGTGGGACTCAAGGCCAGAGGTCCATCAATGGCAGGACACTTGTTGAAGGTCACCTGGCACCATGGCAGCTGGGCCAGATTGAGAGCTCGCTTGCAGCCAGCACAGAGGTGTCCAGGTGCCAGCGGCGAGAGGACAGGGGCAGGCGTCTGGGGTACAAGGTGGGGGGTACCAGTCAGAAGCCTAGGTTCAGAGCTCACATGAACCTCTACCTCTTGACCTCTCTGAATTTCAGTCCTCAAATCTCTATAGTTGGGGGGTGGGGGGTAGACTAGGTAATTCTAGGACCTACCACTCTGATATCTTGGAGTGCTGTGATTTCCCACCAGCTGCCCAACATACCAAAACACTGTGGGCAGGGCTTTGAGGCTGGCAGGGCTGGGTTTGACCGCAGCTCTTTGATTTACTAAGTGGGTGACCTGTCGCAAGCTGCTCAATTTCTCCAGACCTACCGATTCCTACCTAGCTGGGCTGTTAGGAGAACCTAAGGGCTAACCAGTGAAAAGCGATCAGGCCCAGGGTGGAAGCTAAATGAGTTCTGTCCCTTTCAGAGATGCCCATCCCCTGGTGCCAAATGCCCCCTCTGAGGCCAGCCTAGCCATCGCCCTTGTTACATTGGCTGCAAGTAACAGAAACCCCAACTTACATGGACTTAAACTCTAAGATTTATTATCACACATTGCAAGGGTCTGCCATGTAGGATGCTGCCAGAATTGGTTGATGTGCTGGCTCAGCAGTGTCCTCAAGAACTCAGGATCTATCCAACACCCCTGAATTGCTATCTTCAGCTGGTTCATGGGGACAAAGTGTTCGCAGATGGGACCGGGACCAAAGGAAGAGGGGCCCTCCCCTTCGCACGTGTGGTCTTTATGAGGAACTTGAAACCTCCCCATCAGCCCCTAGCAGACCGCGCCTCTCATCTCATTGGCCAGAATTGTGTCACATGCTCTCTCAGCCAATTACTGGGGAGGTGTGTGGCATCACCTTGCAGGTAGCTAATGCAGCCAGGTGTGGAGAAGGGAGCCACCGGAATCAAAGGGGTTTCTGTTGGCTAGGAGGAAGGATGGAAATGGTGGAGGGGTAGGTGGCCCTAAGTGTCTGCTCATCCCTCTCAGAGCCTGATGATGATGGCAAAACCTGAGCTCTGATGAGTTAAGGGATCAGTGGCCTTGATCTAGACTTGATCTGGACTTGATCTGGCCCAGCCCACTGGATTCAGCACAGGGTGGGACTTGGTACTTAGTCCTACCCTGAACCCCACACCTTTGAAGCAGGTGGGGATTGCCCAACAGGTTGCTCCTATTAGCCTGGCCTCCTACAGAGATGAGGCAGACCTCCTGGCTAATGAAACAGGCAGTGGTGAGAAAAGGTATCTATGCCCAGCATTATCTCCTGTCTCAGTCCCCACAGCCAGTCTGTACCCAAGCTCTCATGGGGCCTGGGCTTCTCTTGCCTGGACCATTGCTGCAGCCTCCACTTGGGCCCCTCCCATTCATCCATGAGAAGCAGCCATAACGACCCTTGCCCAGGGCTATGCCCTTCCCCTGGTCCCCTGTCCCTGTCACTGACAGGACAAAGCCCTCACTATGCACAGGTACACGGCCTCATTCTCTCCAGCCTCCTGATTTGCTGCCCCACTTCTCACAGGCATTCCCTAGCCACACTGGGTGACTGGCTGTTCTCCACACCTATGCTGTGCTCTCTCACCTCCTAGTGTTCATCTCTGCTTACTCTCAGCCTGGGGTGGCCTTTCTCCTCCTTACCTATGACACGATCTCAGGTCCTTCCTCCCCCTGATCAGAAGTCATAGCTTTCTCCTCTGACATCCTAGCTCCCACAACCCCCAACTTGCTTAGGCATCTGCATGGATCTTAGGGGTGTGTGTGTGTGCACGCGTGTATGTGTGTATCCTATTCCCTCGGAAGACGATGAGCTCCAGCGGGGAGCAGGGTCTGGCTCGAGCTCCCCCACATGCCCTACAGTACCTGAAGAAGCCCCAAGTCAACATTTGCAGAGTTCAATTGAATTGAACTTTCATTTTCACAGCAAAAGATCTATTGTCTCCTTCAACCCTCACAACAGCCTTTCAAGGCACGGAGCATCGGACATTGGACGGTTCCAGGGAGGGGAAGGAACTTGCCGAAGGTCATGCAGCAAGGTTGAGGCAGAGCTGTGGCCCAAGCCAAGGCAGCGTAGCTCCCTCAATTACCCACCCAGCATCAGCTGTTGGCAGCTACTCTTTCCAGGAGGGCCGCCACACGCCTGGGCAGAGCAGGCCACTGTGGGTGTGGGTGTGGGTGTACGTGTGATGGGCCCCAGAAAAGGGAAGGCGGGGTCGTAGGCCATGTAATGAAGATTCTGTCTCCAGGGAAGGCAGGCCTGCCTCAGTGGCTGGGGGTTAATGGCTTTGCTGAATATCACGGCTGAAGGTTAATCTCATTCCTTAATTTCACAGGCCCAAGGCCTTTCCCATTAGCATCTGGGGGCAATGGCTTCCCCCTCACCCTGCCCCACCCCCACATGCACATGGCCCCAGCACCTTCACCGGGGCCTTGGCATCAGACTCTGGAGGTGGTTTAACCTTGACTCCTTCCTCGATGCCTTGCTCTGCTCCCTCTGCCCACTACACACACAAGAGGGAGGGGCTGGCCCTCCTTCCACAATTCTAGGTCTGAAGGGATCTTTTCTGGGGCCTCATCTGTCCGTACTGGGCAGGCAGACACCATTTCTTGGGGACTTCATTGAGACACATGACTAGACCCCAGAGAAGACAGCCAGCACTCATTAAATACCCCTCTCAGGGTGGGAGCAAGGGATGGGGCAGCAAGGGTCTGAGTCACAGGTTCTCAAGTGCCCCAGTGCCTGGCAGATGGTCCAGGCTATGTGGATGCCCCTCTGGCACCCAGGAGAGTGAGGTGGCTCTGGGATGGGCATGGCTTATAACTCAACCCTAAATGGCCACTCCCAAGTGCCACAGAACCCAGAAGCAGCTTCTCTGGCCTGCTGATGGCCAAGTGGCTATCCCTGAGCTGCCACCATAGCCTGCTCTTAGAAACACTCCCACCATTCCAGTCACTGTCCCTGTGCTCAAGCCCCCAAAGTGACTGCAACCCATCTCCCTAGGGGCAGGGACAAGGCAGACACAGCTGAGCCTCAGGCTGGACCTCAGAGAGCCAGAGCAGTCACATTAGTGTGACAGGCATCAGGACCCTGCCACTGCAGGGGGAGCGGACGCATACTGATTTTTCAAGATCCTGCATCGATAGCTCCTGGAGCCAGTGGTGCATTTGTGCTGACCTTTCAAGTGATGACTGATTCCCGCAGCGAGTTGGGGGTGGGAGCTGCTGCGACTGTTGCTGACAGCCCCTGGCTGGCAGCAGAGGCAAGACAGCAGCTCAGAGTCTGCGCCATTGACCCCCTAGCCCCTCCCTGTGCTGGGATGTGCAGGACTGCCTGCTGGGGTTACAGACTGATGTCCCATTACCACTCCCTGCCTTCTAGCCTTTGCAGAAGCTGGGCCTCCTCCACCTGTAGTCCCTCCTGTCTCAGGCATCCTCTGCCCATCTCATGCTTAGTGCCACTTGCACATTTGTGCTTGGACTGTTTTCCCATCCAGAAGACCTTCCTCCTTTTCTTACCCTGCCAAGGCTCTTCCCTGGTCCCTTTTCCTATAGGGTGGCTTTTCTGACCACCTACAGAATGTCTCATATAGCCCCTTACTTGGGGGCTATAGCTAATGCTATCTTCTTTCATTGTGTAAATAGTACCCACGTGGTGCCCCAGCTGCTGGCATAGCATGCCGTCTAGTCCCCTGCATGCCCGAGGAAGACCTGTCATGGCCTCTGCAAGGAGCTGGAGAGCCTGTGTGGGGCAGAGAGGGGCTAGTGACAAGGGTAGAAGCCATATCTAATTGGGTATCTATGACAACGCCAGCCATGGTTGTAGACACTGGCACAACTCTTTAGGAAAACAATCTGCCCATGGTGAATCCAGTGCCTTAAAATACGTGTTTCAGGGGCGGCCGATTATCTCAGTTGGCTAGAGTGTAGTGCTGATAACACCAAGTTTGTCAGTTCGATCCCCATATGGGTCACTGTGAGCTGCGCCCTCCTTAAAAAATAATAAATAAATAAATAAATAAATAATTTTTAAAAAATAAAAAAATGTGTGTTTCATTTAACTCAGCATTTCCATTTGGGGTACTAAGAAAATCATAGGAGGTATAGAGATATGCATCAAAGAACGTCCAATGCAGTGTTATTATAGGAAAAAACAGGAAGGGAGAGACCAGGACACTTGAACATGGCTGACTATCCAGCTACTGAAGTCCTCAGTAACAAATGTTACCTCTGACTGTGCATATGCTTAGGTTTTCATGGTAAATGAAAGAGGCAGGATGTTAGGATGACAATTATATGCAAAATATGCACAAAAAAGAACTAGGAAGAAATGTATTGTCTTATGAACAGTTGCCTTTCATATAGGAATTCAGGGGTTTTTTTTCCATCTTTCTACTTTTCTGTATTTCCCAAATTTGTTGATTATTACATGTTGCTTTTATAATTAGGACAAACATTTGTGACATATATAGACATACACACAACCAAGTATCCGGACATCACTTGTTTTGGGAGAAGCTGTGGCCCCGCCACCTACTCCCACCTTCTCCTTCCAGCTGTCCAAGCCCGGGGGACCTCCGGAGCTGCCCCTGTGGAATCAGTCCTTCCTCTTCCAAGGCCGAGATGGAGCCACCAGCTTCTCAGATGACGTCACGCTGGTGCTGGAGTACTACTCTTCGACTTCAAGTAGGTGCCCCTGGTGCCAGGCCAGGGCAGCCATGCCTCAGGACATGTACATAAGAATGTTCAGACCATCTGCCTCTGCTCCGTGGGGATGGGTAAGGACGGGGTTCCATGGCCACCTCCCAGTACATACAGAGAGGCGGGGTGGGGGGCACCAGGCTGCCCTCCTTGTCCACGTGGTAGCTCTAGGGGACGGGCGCTAGTCCCATATTGGATCCACGTGCTTTTATTACACCACCACCCTCCCCAGGCACCTATCAGTGAGGAGGGCAGATGTGAAGCCCTCAGGGCTCACAGCCTGGGGAGGGGACAGGATTCAGGGACCAGCTGATCCACAGTCTTAGATCCACACTATAAGGCTGAAGGGACAAGGGAGATCCATATAAAAACCCAGAGACGGGAATATGGTTAGAGCTGCCCTTGAACTCAGCAAGCCCTGAAGAGCAGAGAACAAGGAGGATAGTCGTGCAAGGAAAGGCCGAGGGACAGGAAACAGGTGGGTGGTGAGGGATGGGAGAGCTAGGCTCTAAGGACCAAAGGATGGGCCGGTGGGGCCTCGGATGCTGGCACCTGAGAAGCCTGTGTGGCGGCTTTGGTGGGAGCCTCAGCCGGTCCTTCCCCGACAGTGAAAGGCAGCGAGCTGTGGGCCCTCCGCATGCCCCTGGGCATCTCCGTGTTGCCACCAAAGAGCCGTCTGTACCGCAAGATGCTGACAGGGAAAGACCTGAACGGGCTGCGCATAGAGAGGCTCTCTATCACCGTGAGTCCCCCGCCTGGGCGGGGCGCATGGCAGGCCCACCCTGCCCTACTACGCCCCACCACACCTCACCAGCACAGCAGCTTCCAGCAGGGCCCCCCACCACGGAAGCTGACCACTGTCAGGTGTGAGGAGTTCCCCCAAACACTGAAAGTCAGCCTTGCCCCTGGGTTTGTGATGAAATTGCCTCAGAACTTGGGGAGCAGCACAGGGAGGCCCCCTGGGATAGCAGCAAGAGCTCAGGCCCTTAGCCAGCCAGATCTAAGTTCAAACCCTGACTTGCCATAGTCTTTGCTGTAGAAGCTGGGCAAGTTGCTTGACCTCTCTGAACTTCAGAGTACCCATCTCTAAAATGGGGACATGTCTGGGTTCAAATTCTGGTTCCACCACTTACCAGCATACATGGCCACGGGAAACTTTCTTAAAGTCTCAGTGCCTCAGCTTCCTTGTCTATAAAATGGGTTCTTAGTAACAGTACTTTTCTCATAGGGTTGCTGTGAAATTTGGGGGAACGGGGCAATACCTGTAAAGCACTTGGAACAGAGTACGTTCTCGATGATAATATGTTATCATCATCATTGCCTATTTCTATGCCACCTTTTCCCTAAAATACATCTGGCCATACAGTCTGAATAGACCTCAACTAATGGGAGCTTCCCCACTCTGCCAGGAGGCAGGTCTGGAGGTGCCGGTCAGGTCTCCAGTGGAGGTGAGAAGGGCATGCAAAGGGGTGAGGGTGCGCAGCAGCAGGAGGCCAGCTCCCACCTCCCTCCCACCCTCTGGGCATAGCCCTCAGCAGGCACCATGCTGGGGAATCCAGAACCGTTGGTGGGGCAGAGACAGACAGAAGCTGCCCTGGACACCATGGTCTGCTCCCTCCCTCTCCCCTGGACACCAAGCTGAAAATCACGAATGGTGAGGCCCCCACAGTGGATCTCTCCTTTCAGCTGCTTTCCTCTGAGGTAAGGCTGCAGATCATGGGACGGGCAGGGCCTGGAAACCATGTGCCACCTCCTGTAGGCCCTCAGTGGGTTCCATCCTCCTTCATAGTTGCTGGCCTTGTTCAGGGCTGGGCTCAGGGCCTTCTGGGAGGAGGGAACTGCTGCTTTGCATGGAAATGTCCGAGGGTGACATGAGGCTGCAGAAAACCAGAGAGAGAGAGAGAGAGAGAGAGCTGAGAATAGCAGGAGGAAAATTGGAACAGAGGGCCACCAGACCTGGGAGTCAACCTCTAACCCACCCACACCAAGCCTGGCTCACTGGGATCGAGGTTCTACAATGGTGAACTAGGGCATCAGCTTCTGTTGCTGCATAACAAACTACCACAAACTTAGCAGCTTAAAACAACACTCATTTATGAGCTCAAACCAGTAGGTAGTCCTACACAGCAGGGCTGAAACCAGGGTGTTCAGCAGGGCCGTGTTCCTTTCTGGGAGCTCTAGGAAGAGTGCGCTTCTAGGCTCGTTGAGGTTGTCGTCAGAATCCAGTTGCCGGCAGTTGTAGGACTGAGGTCGCTGTTTCCTAGCTGGCCATCAGCCAGAGGCTCCTCTCAGCTCCTGAAGGCGCCCACATTCCTCCTCACAATGGCCTCCTCCATCTTCAAGCCAGCAGGCTGTCAAATCCCCCTCACACTTCAGAACTCTGACTTCCTCCTCTGTCAGCAGCCAGAGAAAATGCTGTGCTTTTAAAGGGGCTCTGTGATTAGGTCAGGCCCACTCTAATAATGGCCCCACCTTAAGGTCCACTGTGCCATATGACAAGCACAGGAGTGACAGCTCAGCATGCTCTCAGGTTCCAGGGCTTAGGGTGTGGGCTCTTAGGGGCCTGTTGTTGGAATGCTGCCTAGCACAGCTGGGTTGATCCAAGTGGAAAGATACCAGGGGCTGAGCCCTGCCTGACAGATGGGACCTCGTCCTATAACCAGCTATACCTGGGCTCCGAATCCAGATTGGACCCTGGTCAATTGGCCCCAGCGCACCTGGCAGGCACCTGCTGCAATTTTCCCCCTGTCTTCTTGTGGTGCTGGGATAGAAGGTGTGAAGCTGGGATGTGGGCAGTTTGGGACCATGAACCCAGGAAACAGTGGCAGGGGTGGTGACTAGGTCAGCCCACCCCTTCCAGCTTCTCATACCAGGAAAACTAGCCACAAGCTCTGGGGTAACACGTGGCCCTGTGACCTTATGCATGAAGAACACAGGGAATCCCATGGTGTGAGGGAAGGGGTGTATATCTGGGAATGTGCCAGTCGCAAGTATCTTCCCACAGGCTTCTGGTGAGCGCCTGAGACTTCCCAGTAGGGAGCCCCGCTGTGCGATATTTTGCATTGAATTCTAGAGTTTCCTCTAATTCCTAGTGAGAGAGTTCTTAGATTAACAGCCTGACATCCTTTGCTCTCCTCCCCCCCCCCCCCCCCCCCGCCCCTGCTCCAAACCAGGTACAGGACCGAGAAGGTACTGAGAGGGGAGGACACAGGAGCAGCAAAATACCCCCCAAAAGGAAAGGAAAGTCCTTGGAGAAAAATGTCCCACATTACCCCGATTGGAGCTCAACTCCCCATACCCTCTTCTCAGGGCCTCGAATCTGCCATGGCCACTGCCCACCCTTCCTCACTCCCGTTCTCCTGCCCCTTCACTGGGACACATGTGTTCTGAGGACCAAAAGGAGCATCAAGTGCCTCTGGTCAGGGTACTGGGGGACCCAGGCAGGCAACAGGCAGGTGGGCAGGACACTTTCCCAGCTGCCCAGGGGCTGGGCACAGAGGTCTCAGCGATGAATTATTCACACGAGCTGTGCTAAGTGCAGAATTAATCCCTTTCCTTCCAGCTGGCGACCTCACTAAATTATCCCTCCAAGTCATGCGGGAAAACACTGTGAATTCATTGAGCTGCTGAGTGTTTTGATCTGGGCCTTGTGATTTTAGCTTCCCTTTCCCCCAACCCCCCTCCCCCTGGAGGCGGGTAAAAACCTTTCAGTAATGGATTTCTGAGAAGAAAGGAAAAGAAAGAGGACCAAGATTGGGTGTGTACCAGGAAAATAGTACTAGCGGAAATTCAGGCTCTGCAGCCAAGAATTCATACACACAGCTCTATGTGTACACACTCCCTCACACAATGACATCTGAACACCCACACATGGGCAGTTACATGTGCACAAACGCACACACGCACTTGCACACACACTCCTTTACAAGGATGCACACACCTAATGTATATATACAGGCTCATGCACACATTGGCACACACAGAGGCTAAGTCTCAGATCCCAACAAATAACCTATTTATTGGTGAACCTATCTGAGAAGTAGCCAATAAACAACCCACTTTGATTCTAGAATCTTGAAGTCCAATTTAGGGGCCTGGGGATGAAGTGCTAGTTTGGACTTGGCATAAGGTTCTTGCAGCCATAGCACCCATCTATTCATTCTTTTTTTTTTTTAAGATTTTTATTGGGGAATTGGGGAATGGGAACAGTGCTGGGGAGTTGGGGGAAGGGAAACAGACAAGTTGCTGTCCTTTTGTTCTTCAGTCTAGTTGTGGAGGACGTTGCTTCACTGGCCCAAGTTGGCACCATCATTGCGCTCTTTCCGGGCGAGACACATCAGTCGCCGGCTTCTGGACGACCGCTCACAGCGGCTGCTGGCCGCTCACACTGGCTGCTGGCCACATACGGTAGCCCATGGCAACCCACTGCCACAGGGGCTGCAGCCTACGCCCTCACTGGCAACTCATGGCAGCCCAGCTCCAGGTTGAGCTGTTGTTCAGCATCTTAGCTGTAGAGGGCAGTGTCACTGGCCCTCATATGTGGGATCCGAACCGGGGCCCTCTGGCATCCCAAGCCAGTTCTTAACCATCACGCCACTCAGCCGGCCCTATTCATTCTTTTACTCCACATATATTTGACGAGGACTAGAATTTTGGCTGCCCTTGTGGACTGTAATGAGGACAGGGAGGGACCGGCAGCCATGGAACCCACCTGCCTTGAATTCGCCCTTATCTGATTTGGAAATGGTTCTCTACTAACATCTGAGCCCTTTTGGTACCCTTGTCCCTCTGGGTTGGAGGGAGAGTGTTGAGAACTAACGAACAGGTCACATGGTATTGCAGCTAAGTCTAAAAACACGTCCGCAGCTCCATCCTTCTCCATCGCCTTCACAGCCATACCACCAGTGTTCTCCATGCAACTGCAAACAGTTGCTGAGCACCTGCTATGTAGAGGATATGTTCTGGTTTCAGGGGTCTTACATTGAAGAAGATGAGAAAAAGTCCCCACCTTCATAAAGCTTGCATTCTAAGAGAGCAAGGAGTGTGGACCAGACAATGAGCAAATCAGTTCAAGAGCAGATATCAGCTCCTGAGAAGAAGCCTGATGAAACCAAACAAGGTGACATGACAGAGCATGCTCAGACGGGCTCTGCAGATTTTGCTGTAACAAAGAGACCAGGTCCCTTCCATCTTGTTGCTCCACCTAAGGTGTTGCCCACAAGTTCATGGTGGAAGGTGCCTGGCCTTCATCTCTGCATTCCAGCCTGTGAGACCAGAACCATCCATTCTTCCATCATTTAAATCAAGTGCTGTTCAAAGCTCTGAGAGCCACCAGCTGAAGCCTGTGGACACTCCAGCTGCAGGAGTGTGATAACAGGCCCCTGGGGACCGCCCATCCATGTGGCTAACAATTCTGTCTTAGGGACAGCTCCTTGCTCATAGTCAGATGTGCTACAGAGAGGAAATGCCTCAGGAGAAATGAATACATGTGCCCTACTTGGGTGCCCCCCACTTGAGGACACAGCCTCTTTTCCTGTGAGCCTCCACAGGATAGCACAGGCCGTCCTGGTTAATTGACATTTTGGTGAACACGGTCTCCCCATATCCACTGCTTCTACATCACACATTCTCAGAGCTCTAGGAACAAGAGTGTTGTGGAATTCCCAAATAGGTGGAGATCACAGAGGTGTCTCAGCAGCCCACCCTGGATAGGAATCTCCTTGACGATATCCACTACGGACGGTCAGCCCTGTCCTCGTGCTCTGCCATGACCGGGAGCTACCTACCTCCAGAAGCAACCCATCTCATGCCTCAGTGGCTACAAGTGATAGAAACACACACTTGACATTGAGCCCACCCTGCCTCTCAGGGCCCTCCCTCTGCCACAGGCTCCCCACTCTGCCCTCTGGGGCTACAAAGCACTTCCAGCATGCTTCCTGGGCCGGTTCTGGTGACTCTGGCACATAATCAACCAAGCAGCATGTTGGCGGGCAGACTAGCCAACAAAGCCTGCAGTCTCAGTGAATGGCAGAAAGGGGTGGTCTCTTGGTTTAGGAGATTGTGCTGGAAGCTGGTTCTGTTGGTGATGGGTTAAGCTTTTCCCTCTGGTGGGGCTTCTCTACGGGCACCTGCTACTTCTAGTGATCTGCCTTAAGCTGGAGCTCTGTGTGTTGATGAGTACGTGTGCAACTACACACAGATACATAGAAAACTTCCCCTTATTGCACATTCGGGGGGGGGGGGGGGGTGTTGGCCTTCGAGGTCTTTAGGCTCTAAGAATCCCTGAGCCTATGGCTACTCCACAGATACCGTATTTCCCCATATATAAAACGCACCTTAATTTTGGGGCCCGAAATTTGAAAAAAAAGTATTACATGAAGTTATTGAACTCAAGTTTCATTCATCATAAAATTCATACAACTCCTCATCAGTTGTGGGAAATGCAAGTAAAAAAACCAACCACTGTATAAGATGCACCCAGTTTTTAGACCCCAACTTTTTCGAAAAAGGGTGCGTCTTATACATGGGGAAATACGGTACATACATGAGAAAACCTTTGGTCTCCTCCACTTTCTCTGATGTTGGCCTCTTCTCTTTGAAGAGTGTGATCTGGTCCCCTAGGAGTCTATGCTTCTCCAGGCTAAGCAGCCTTCTCTTTTAATGAACTGGTTTCAAGATGCTGCAGCATCCTGGGTGCCCTC